ATACATTAAACTTACTTGGTGAACAAAGCGTACTATATTCACGAATAACCCGAACTTTACCGGTTTTTACATTATACTTATTTGGTGAACAAAGTGTACTATATTGACGAATAACCTGAATTTTACCAGCCAATACATTGTACTTATTTGGTGAACAAAGCGTACTATATTCACGAATAACCCGAACTTTACCAGCTTATACATTGTACTTATTTGGTGAACAAAGCGTACTATATTGACGAATAACCCAAACTTTACCAGCCAATACATTGTACTTATTTGGTGAACAAAGCGTACTATATTCACGAATAACCCGAACTTTACCAGCTTATACATTGTACTTATTTGGTGAACAAAGCGTACTATATTCACGAATAACCCTAACTTTACCATACTCTTATGTTCACTAATTAAACAACAGTACATATGTTTTACATAGCATGTAGACTGCAAATATTACTAGATTCAACACTATCAAACTATGAACTACTCCACCTTCAGAATTAATGCAATTCTTCACTTCACTTTCTTGATGGACTTGGTTCATCGACGCACTTGTAGCTTCATTTTCTTCACGATTTGAGTTGTTGTGGGAAAAAGTTTGCCCAACTTCAAATGGTTCATACCAATGGGAGTAGCCATGGTGTGGGCAACAATAAAATAACCTTCTGGGATTCGAAATAGTTTCTGAAACCATGATTATTGTTTTATTCCCACAATCAAGACGCTTGCATTTCCCTTTTTTGTATTTTAACCCACTCATTTAAGTGGTGCTACTCGAAGAAGCCATGAATGAGAAACAAATGAGCCTATGTGTCATTTATGCTCATATTATGACTTGACTACTTCTGACAATAAGCAACAGCTATATTAGTTTGTAACGGTCATAAATTGAGTAAGTCATACCATCATATCTCATAGATAATACCATGCGTAAATAAAATCAGTACATTTATACCAACAATGATAAACCATCAACCAACATAAGACATACCATCATATCCCATAGATAATACCATGCGTAAATAAAATCAGTACATTTATACTCAAAATGATAAACCATCGAGCAACAACAAGCATACCATCATATCGCATATCTAATACCATGTGTAAATAAAAATAGTACCATTAGACTGAAAATGATAAACCATCAATCAACAACAGACATACCATCCTATCTCATATCCAATACCATGTGTAAATAAAAATAGTACCATTAGACTGAAAATGATAAACCATCAATGAATAGAGTACATAATACATAGTACAAACTACAAATAGCAAAAGTATAGTGCAAATTGAAACATAGTACAAAGTTCAAATCAACATAGTACAAATCACATAATAATAAAGTACAAAGAGCCAGTTTTCATTCACTTCAATCACTTGAATAACATAATGGCCAATCATGTGTGCTCTCCTCCATATTGTCCTCCCTGATGAAAAAAATAAAATTTACATTAGAAACAAAACTAGTTAGTTTAAGTAACACAAATGCAGAAAACATTTACATTAAAAAAAATGCTAGTCAGATTGGTTGTGTGCAAGTACGACGATTGTGTCCAGGCTTCCCACACCAAGTACACTTCAGTTTACGAGTTTGCACTTGTGATGGAATTATTTTTGTCCTTCTACGTCCCGGTCGAGTTCTCGAATCAGGTGCATTAACAAAGACATCGGGCGGAGCATTACACGCATCGTACAAGTCAAAGTCCTCATCAAACGAGGGAATTGGGTTAATCGTGAATTGATATACATGTTTGTATGTATCAATATGAAAGCATGGATCAAAAACTCATATACTGAGTATCCTTTTGACTCCAAACATGCACATGCATGTTTGCATGGAAGTTTCTCTAATTGCCATGCTTTACAAGAACAAGTCTTGTGCTGCAAGTCAACCTTATACGACTTGTCCTCATCATATACCTCAAAAGCGGTACTACTTGATCTACAATATTTTAAGGAACGAGAGGCCATATGATTGATTGTTAATCTCTTTATAATTTTCTTGCACAATATGCCAGTCATTGCCAAACTTTTGCCTAGTCGTTTAACTAGCATCTCCATTATTTCGATCCGTATGTGATCAATCATGGATGGAACAGGCAAAGATCGGGCATCTTTAACCCAACCATTCCAATTTTCTGCCTGATTATTGTTCACGATTCCCCATCTTTCTCCAGAAAAATAGGCATTGGCCCAATGATTTGGATCAGAATTCGAAATAAATGATGCCGCGAGAGGCATAGATTGCACTATACGAGAAATAGTTGCATCGAACTCCTGCCGAGTAGGAGCATATGCAACATTATGTAAAACACTCGCCCAATATAACTTGTTGTGCAATGGGTACATCCTCAGCACCTACATTATTTTGTAATAGTATGAAACATGTTATCCAAAAGTATGACATGAGGTGACAAATGGTACGTTCCAATTTGTATATTATAGAGAATCAAAATACCTGAGTTCTAAAGTTATCCACCAAGTGTCGCAAACAATATGCATGGTGGCTACTAGGAAATACCAACGGGATGGCTTTAAGAAGCCCCGAATGACAATCAGAGAAAATGGTAACACATCTATTGTCATTGTGAAAATCTAGAATTTGTTTTAATTTAATGCAAAACCACTCCCAGTTTTTATCATTCTCAGCATCAACAACTGCATATGCCAATGTATATAAGGAATCATTTGGATCCTTGCACACAGCAGAAAGCAAGCATCCTTTGTACTTATTTTTAATCTGAGTCCCATCCAAACATATTATCGGCCTACACCGACGAAAACCGGAAATAGACTTCCCAAAACTAATAAATATCCGAATAAACTTTTGACTAGCAGGGTCAATCTCATACTCTGCCATGCTACCAGGGTTATGCATTTTTAATGCACGATAATAGCGTCTCAGTTTATCATAACATGTCGTCTCATCACCATGGATATCACGCATTGCTTTTTCTTTACCCCTCCATGCTGTGTAGTACTGAAGCTCCATACCATAATTGTCTCGGATATCTTCTAACATACCACATGGTTTGTAAGCTGGTTGCGTTCTCAATTTTTGTTTCATAATTTGGGAAATCCATGTAGCATCGGCTTTAGGATGACCCCTTGTACGAAGAGTAGCATTACCACAAGTATGCTCAAGATTGCATTTGAAAATGCTAAATAACTTATCTGACTTGTACAATGATGCATAAACCCTCCATTTGCAGTTTTCGTCAATGCATACTGGTATGATCTTTTGTTGATCATTTTTCATGTACTTAAATGATCGATTATTAGCAATAGAATAGTTTTTCAGCATATGCCTAAAATCATCAGGATCTTTAAAAAACAGATTCTCCCCACGGATGCAATGTCTCCATGCATCAATTGAATTTCCAAACGGATTACCCTCGATTTCCATCGATTGATCGCCGCTTTTGGTTTAGAAAAAAATTAAAAAATGGATTACAATAGAGTGGAATCCAAATAACATTGTAAATGGAAACATCATAACAATGCGCTGGTTCCATAATATTTTCTCCATTATATGATACTAAGTTTTCCCACAAATAGTACCAAGTTTACCGATCACCCATACTATCCGAATTATGGTTACGTACTACTGTCTTCCCCATTATATGATACTATGTTTTCCCACCAACAATACCAAATTTACCTATCACCCATACTATTCAGATAAATGTTACGTACTATCTTCCCCATTATATGATACTATGTTTTCCGACCAACAGTACCAAATTTACCTATCACGCATACTATACGAATAACAATTACGACTGTAAGTACCATACGTCCATACCATATTTATATTAGCATGATACTATTACGTGTCATATTCTATACTATGTATCACACAATAATTAACAACCATAAAGAAATGCATTTCAGCAGTACAGAAAATGATGGAGACCAACCAGCCATCGGTGCGAACCCTCTTTCCACGCGAATTAGCTTCATCTTTGCGGATCACGACAATGTCGACCACACTCATCTTCATTATCAGATGCAATGCAACCATATTCTCCACATCTTCATCACTACCCAATCAGAGCCAAGTATTGGAGGATCAGTGCATCTGGATGGATATGATTCCACTTGTTGATAATAGCACCATATATCTCCATTAAGGTCGAATTACTTTTGATGGAAATAATGTGAACTTGATCTTTGTATCGACAACTTCTAAGAATCACAGGGGAAAATCATTAGATACATCATTTGTAGCCATTGTGGGGTGGGTGGGTTTTACAGTGATTTTTCGTCGGAAAAAGAGGAAACCAGAGGAGAGAAAGAGAGCAGATAAAAAGGAAGAAAGAGAAGAAAGAAAGAGAAGATCAAGAGAGAGAAAAGGAAGAGAAAGAAAAGGAGGAGAGAGAAAATGGTGAGGATGAAAAAGAAGAGAGAGAATATAATAAAATATATTAAATTCACATTAGGGACTGATTTGCATGTTAGACGCGTGAGTATGGACTGATTTGCTTGGGGAAACTACCTAGGGACTGATCTGTGTTTTGTGTTTTGGATTAGGGATTTATCTGTAGTTTCAAACAAAATTAAAATAAATATAAAAAATAAAGAAATGCAAAAAGACACAAAATGGGGGTAATATGCATCTAATAAGTTTAGTTAGGATATTTCGGGTAGTTTGTATCATTTGGGTTATATCAAAAATCGAACTAAAATTTGTATCTATCGTGAAGTCAAAATCCAACGAGGATTTTTATCAAATAACCCCAAAATATGCCCAGAAAAAGATATTTATTGCTCGTTATCACACCACGCTCGAAATAAAATGAATGTATTAATAATTTAATTTTTTTGAAAAAATAGCATATGCACATAATTTTGTCCCTTAATTGCTCTGACCAATCATTCAGTCGTACGCTCTCTCCAATTCAACCCACCCCCTTCTCTCCTACAACGAAAACAGAGATACGAAATCGAATCATACGAGCTGCTGATCCACAATTTCATAAAAGATTAAAGAAAATAAAATTGGAATTAAAGCTGAGAAGAATTGATGCTGAAGAATATCATAGATTCAGGTTATTATTATAATTACTATTTGAATTGGGTGAGCAGCGGCGGCGGCGAGTATTCAACACCCATATGGGCTGTTCTGATCGCCGGAGTTTCCGTCGTCGTCACTCTCACCCTCTCCGTTTACCTCCTCTTCGAGCATTTATCCATGTACCAGAACCCCGAGGTCATCATTTCTCCCCCTATCCCTATCATTTTTTTTAATTTTTTTTTTTTTTAATTTATTTTTCTGTTCTTCATACCTGTTGTTTATTATATGATTTCAGGAGCAAAAGTTTCTGATTGGAGTAATATTGATGGTGCCTTGCTATTCTATTGAATCAGTAAGCTTCTAATTTTCTATCTTTAATGGTGTGAATTGGTGATTGATGAGAAGAAATAGACTTTTTAGTATAATTTCAATGAGATAGTTTCTTTCTGGCAATGGTATATTTTCATGTGTTTTATAATTGATAGTATTTGGGTGCAGTTTGTATCATTGGTAAACCCTGCAATTAGCGTTGATATTGGGATTCTTCGTGATTGCTATGAGTCCTTTGCCATGTACTGCTTTGGGAGGTACCTAATTGCTTGTTTAGGTATGGTTAATCAAACTTAACTTATCAAAATTAATCCTTCTGATTATCCCTATTGGATTATATTCTTGTGTTTAAGTTCTTGTTTCTTCTTTTATACGTCCTGTTGAGGACTTTCGTGCTACCCTAAATTGACTAACCCTCATTGCATTTTCCGATGGTTATTTATTTAGGTGGAGAAGAGAGGGCAATTGGATTCATGAAGAGGGAAGGACGTGCGAGTTCAAAGACACCGCTGCTAGATCACGGCCATGAAAGAGGAATCGTAAACCATCCTTTTCCACTGAAATTGTTTTTGAAGCCTTGGAAACTTGGTCAATGGGTTTATCAGGTCATCAAGTTTGGAATTGTTCAGTATGTAAGTCATCATGTTTCCAGGAAATATTTCAGTGTGTTCGTTTGTCAAAACCCTCCCTTTTCTTTTATCATGCCCATGACTGATTAACTTGGTGAATTTCAATGGCAGATGATTATAAAACTATTTACTGCCGTTTCAGCTGTAATTCTTGAAGGTTTTGGTGTATACTGTGAAGGAGACTTCAAATGGAACTGTGGGTAAGTTACGTCCTATGGATATTTTAGATAGAGTAGATGTTAGAACTTTTTTATTTTCAGCCATCATTGTTGAAGCTTTTGATGTATATTGTGACGTGACTTCAAATTGGAATATGTGCTCCCATTTTTGTCCCTTTTAGTGATGGAAGATAAATCTGTTACAACGTTTTTGACAAGCTTAAATTAAATGAATAAAGAGAAACTTGACAGCTTTAACAGTGTCATTTGTTTTTTTGTAGGTATCCGTACCTGGCTGTGATTTTAAATTTCAGTCAGTCGTGGGCTTTGTATTGCTTAGTTCATTTTTACACGATAACAAAAGATGAATTAGCACACATCAAACCACTGTACAAGTTTCTGACGTTCAAGTCGATTGTGTTCTTAACTTGGTGGCAAGGTGTTGCTATAGCTCTACTATATGCTATTGGTTTATTTAAAAGTCCAATAGCTCAGTCACTGCAGTTTAAGTCAAGTGTTCAGGACTTCATTATTTGCATCGAGGTAATTGTTTTAAGTTGTATATATACATTTTTTTTTCTTGCCACTGCTTTCATTCGATATTGTTTGCTACGACTTTGTATTTGCTGTAAAACCTAAGGTTATGTTGTTGGCTTCACGAAATCATGTGACTATTTCTGCCAGTTAGGGTCATGCTTTGGACATAATCTAGATTAATTGATATTGGTTTCTTTCATTAGTTACAGCAAAGAATAATTTATTTGAGGACAGGCTACTTGAAAGATCAAATTATCGACCATAATTGAAACATAGTTCTGACTTATTGAACAGCGGTCAACTATAGTTAAAGTCGCAGAAAAGTAAGTGGGAAAATTTAATAAGTATGATTTAAATCAAAGATATAGAGCATTCAGAGAGTTACTGAGACTGGATTTGACGGCTGTTCAGCTAGAGCTAAATTATTCTGGTGACTGGTCCCATCCACTTTTCACAATACTTGGTGTCTGTTCACTGCTATACGCTGGAAAAATTAGGAAGCATATTGGAACTTGCATGATTTATTATTTAACATACTGGCAAGTGAAGACCACACAGTTTTACATTTTAATTGCCTCCGAATAAACCTGGATGAGCTATCAGATAACATCCAAAAGGCTAAGATTTCCATTTTCTTAAATTTTCGGAGTTTATTGGATGTGGAGACTGTAAGTTGTAATATGCATATTTTGTTAATGTCTGCCTGCTTCTTTTTCGGAAATTATTGGAACTAATCTTGAGCTACCGATCAAACACAATAACTCAAAAGATGTGGAAATTGCAAATTAAATTTCTGACTATAGGTGTTTTTTGTTGGTCTTATGTGTTTCTTTCTAAATTAACTTGAGATTATTTCTTCATGTTCATGCCACATTCGGAGTACCATTTTTACATATAAGAACTCCCTTCATTGCATGAACCAATAGTATTGCCCTACCTCGAAATCTATCCAAGGGATGGAAAGGCAGAGGCTTTTGGTATCCCTTTTAATCAAGAGTTGGGGCCTCAAAATAACTAGCCAATAAGATTTATCTCATGCCTTTTTTCATATAATGGGAGCTCTTATCAAACATTAATATGTTGTGTATTGCCGATGCTATACAGGCAGACACTGTATGGCCCTTTAGAAATCAATATACTGGGTTTGGACTTATAAATAGATCCACAGCCTTTCAAGCACTACCAATAAATTTATTGCATTTGATTGGCAATGGCGGTGATGTTAGTTCATGAATCATGCCTAATGGAAATTAGTTTGAACTTGGGCTGGAGGTATGGGGCAATATTTCTTCGCCATTGTACATTGTTTTGCTTGGACAATCAGAATTATAGTCTGTTTAAGCTTGAAAAATAACGTAGTAGTCATTTGCAATCAAATTATAGTCATTTCTGTGGTTGTTAATTATATATTATTTTTGATTTGAAGAGGACAGTCAAGTTTTTATATAGTTATTCTAGCTCTAGTGCAGCGAGTTACTTCTTTTTCTTGGAGGAGAGTTGAGGAGGAGTTGAATGTTCGTTAGAAACAATTTTCTGCTTGCTACCTGCCTTTCTTGAGGTTTTTTTTTCCTCTTGGATATGGAAAATGCGTTTACATTGGTTGTAGTTGACTATTTAGGTTGTATTGAAGTGTACCAACCCTCTTCTTTCCAGAGTACTGCAAAACAGAAACTATGGCCGTTTTTGCACCTTTTTCCCTGAACTTACCATCTAAAAGACACTGTTACCCCTAAAAAAATCATGCGTCACGCACGTATCCAGGTTTCTGGCCAGAAAGTAGACAAAAATGGCAAATTTGGGGCATGGTTCAACAACTAATTGAGTTTAGGGAAAAACGTGTAATTTCTTTTTCTTGTGGGGTAAATTGCAATTCAGCATACAACTCAGTGGGAAAATTCCAGTTGCCATTTAGATCTAACATAACCAGATTCTTCAGACCTGGTTTACACTTTCATTCCACTTATATTTCTAGAATCCGCATTGCTTGCTAGGAGACAATGTATTCTTGCTATGGCTGGGAGGTCGACTTTGGCAAATAATTTGCTATTTGATGGAATTAAGATTGTGGATGAAATCATAAAATAATGCTGATTCAATCTAGAGAAGCATTTCAGAGTCACTACGCACTACCATCCTTTCTCAAAAAGGATGTAGTATTGACAATGAATAGATCGATACGTATAAATGAAGCCTTGTTCTTTAGTAAGAAATACACATCGTTCTGTGTCCATCAGATGTCTAGTCACTTATATCCTTACAGTATCAAAATGGTCGGAAACTTTTACTATTTTTCCTTCATGGAACAATTGAAGCCATTCTTAGCAGCAGGGTTCTTGTTCCAGTTTTCCTTTTTCTTATTTTTTTTTCTTCCAAGCCTTAGAAAGTAGTGATAGAGCTTTTGGTGAAATCTAAATTCTCTTTTGATGCCAAGAACTTATGAACAACCTAGTGGAGATCGATTCTGAAAATCCTAGAAAGGCACTTCTTTGTTTTGTTTTGTTTTGCTGTCTCGGTCTTTGCTTTGGTTGCATTTACATCTAAAGTGATGAGTACATAGTAGTTGTACGAAAACCTGCAATCTGATAGAATTGCCTTCCTTTTATTTGTTGTTCCTAACTCAAGAGAGTATTGTTTAGCAAAGTATTCCCCAACATCTCAATACCTGAACTCACGTCGGGTATGTGGATAGAGAAAGCATTCATTTCTACATTTTAACTCTGCAAGTAAGGGCGGTAGTTTGATTAGGACTCGGGATCAAACGAGTAAATAATGGGTTCATTTGATTTTATGTGGATTCGGGAAATTGTACTTTACAATGCTTTTCTTTCACTTACGAAATCTGTTCCCCGTTCGTGACCGTCATGGCTTAAAATTTGCTTGTAAAATGTTGTCTATAAGTTTAAAAGGTATGTATATGTGTTAATCCAGGACAGATGGGCATTGCTTCAGTGGTTCACCTCTATGTTTTCCCTGCAAAGCCGTACGAGTTAATGGGAGATCAATTTTCTGGAAGCGTTGCAGTTCTTGGTGATTATGCTTCCGTTGATTGTCCTTTAGACCCTGACGAGGTTAGAGACAGTGAACGCCCCACTAAGCTCCGCCTTCCACAGCCCGACTACAAACCTAGGAGTGGGACCACCATCCGTGAAAGTGTTCGAGATATTTTTATCGGTGGTGGCGAATATGTAAGTTCGATAATATATTACAAAATTTATCAAATCCGTGGAAGATATTTGCAAATCTTATATTATGGAAATGTGCTTGGCTATGTATGCAGATTGTGAATGATGTGAAGTTTACGGTGACACAAGCGGTGGAGCCAGTAGAGAAAGGGATAACAAAGTTCAAGCATAAGATATCTCAGAACATAAAAAGGCACGAAAAGGGAAGAAGAACGAAAGACGACAGTTGCATAGCCACCACATCTTCACCGACACGTAAATTGATAAGAGGAATAGACGACCCACTCTTAAACGGGAGCTTTAGCGACAGTGCTAATTCGAGGAGAAAGAAGCACCGTAGGCGTAAATCTGGTTACACGAGTGCTGAAAGTGGCGGTGAAAGTAGCAGCGATCAGATCTTTGGTGGTTATCAGATTCATGGGCGGAGATGGCTTGTCAAGGATTAGTTTTCGAAACGCAAAATCAATTTTTTTGGCAGTTATTTTCTTTTTCTGCCTATCTTGAAAATATCATTGGATGATGATGGAAGAGGTGAAAACTGTGACTAAAGGGCATGTAGATTTTGTTACCCATAAATTGTTGTTTGATGTTGGAAGATAATATTTACCCTTCAAATTGTTGTATAGAAAAAAAAGAAAGGGTTTCTATTTGTTACAACTTGCACTGAATGATTGAATTGTCTATTATTTCTGGAGTTGTTCTTATATACATAGGCTATAGAATTGTTGTCCTTTTCGGTACATTTGAGTTGGAATTCGAAACTTTGATCGATAATAATCGATGCAGAACAATAGAGAATGCGATAATAGTGTTTGTTACCGAAAAACTTATTTGCTTTCGGATAATAACATCTCTATTGTGTACTTTTGACACTATCCCTAAGTTTTTGTAAGAACTTTTGTTTAAGGATCGCTTCTGTACTTTTGATCGATGTATATGGGTTATTTCTATGCTACAACTTGTGGTTATATTGGGCGAACTGTTAGTGTTGATTTACACACCCCAATGTGGGTGTGGGTGTGTGTTTGTGTGTATATTAATGGTAGAAATCTACCCGATATAACATAGACTGAATAGTATAAACCCCTATAAAGCTTGTAATGCCTCCCTTATTTTGAAGCAGTAATTAAATGAAGATCTTTTTATGTTCAAGATAATAACATGTATTGTGGATAATAACATGGATTTGAGAACTTGCATTAAATATCTTCTAAACTATTAAAACAATCAAATATGACTGCAATTTATATCAGTAGAATCAAATATACCTCTTAAATTGACATCATAATCATATATGTTTAAATTTATGTAAAACAAAATAAAGTATAACTTTCTAATATATATTTATGGGATAATTAGCAAGAACCTCCTCATCTAGGGAAATGAGTCTAAAAATAATTAAAGAAAACCCCCTTAGCTAATATTCCACCCAAATGTTACTTCTTTTATTTTTAAGAGTTGATAAACTGTTACTTCTTATTTTTAGAATTAATTTTTGAAGTGTTTTGATAATGAGTTTATTTGTCTTTTTTATTCATTATAAGTTCTTAAACAAAAAGGTGGGGTAGGGATACTGATTAAAAAAATATCTTATTTGTTCTCCAACAGCTTATTTTTAAAAAAACATAAGATCTTTTAAAAACAATATTCCAAACACTTTGGAAGAGCTTATAAGCTCTTAAACATCTTATAAACCATTTTTAACATCTTCTAAGTTTAGCCAAACACCCTTTAATTAAGAGTGATAAGGGACAAATTTGATAAAAATGCATTAATGCGTTATTGGAATTCTAAAATGACAAATAATTTGGGGGAAAAAACCCCATAAAGACAACAATATGGGAGATATGGGGTACTTATTAATTAGTCTTATTGTTTGTTTACTTAAGTAAATTTTATAAATAGTATATTGTAACTCAAATATCAATTTATTTAAAAAAATTATGAAAATAAAGAAAAAAGTGAAGTAATAGACGTGTAAATATAAGGGTGTATACGTATAATTAGACGGAATGGAGGATGCATATTTTTTAAATTAGATGTAGTCTGGCTGTAATTACACCAGATATCAGTGTCATGATATAGTAAATTCACACTTTCTTTAAGGAAATGTGTAGTAAATTTGACCAAAGTGATCATAACATATGAGTAACACGAAAAATGACTTGATTGTTTCAAACAGTAATCATGCAGAAATATTCAAGATAATAAAAATTATCAACTATCACAACGAAATAAAAGAAATTTTAATGTGAGAATTTTCCAAGCATGAATTAATATATAACAATTTATTTTAATTAGTTGTTTTCTTGTGGTTTTATATTCTTATTGATTTCACTTTTAGAATAACTAGTCACTCACCCGTGCGATGCACGGGGATTAATTCAAAAACTTAGAATGAGTTAATGTAGAAAACCAACGAATAAAAAATATGTCGAGAATGTAAAGAATACAATTGAACAATAAATAACAAATTCGTATCTTAATTTATCAATCAAAAGTCTCTATAAAAAATAAACGGACAATGTTCTAAGCACCATCCACGTTGAAATGTAGCAAGTAACTTCAAGACCGAAATTAAAGTAATGCACCAGTCTTGCACATTAATCTGAATGTTGTTAAAGAAGACCACAGAACTACAATTAGATCTACGATCAGATGACAAATAACATGTTATTTTTCATCATTTTCAATATATAAGTCAAAGGCATTACGTAGATAAAGAATATATATATATATATATATATATATATATATATATATACTCTTCACTCGAGAATGCTACGTACAATAGACCGTGACTGGAAACAGGGATTAATTCAAAGATCAAATAATTGCATTAATTTAAAAAATCAATGAATTAAAAAATATCGAAGATTTAAATTTAAAATGATCCAACAATAAATAAAACAATTGCATTTCATTTTATCACAAAAAATCTACATAAATACAA